TAAAGCACTCCCACCACACACACACTCCTGGAGCACATGTATAAATGCCCTTAAAGACTTTTTAAGAGGCATAAGCTTTCATAGGCATTAGTCTAGTTCATCAGATGTGAAGAAAGCATACATTGTTTCACAACTGTGGAAATACCTTCATTCAGCATATCTATCCTTGGACTTAATATTTTCAGAGGTACAGATTGTTTATATCTGATTGCTTTTCAACCTCTTTATGACTAGTTATTTGGTTTCTTATGGGCATCATGAAAGACCCAGGATCCACAACAGTGACCATGTTTAGATGGGATTAGCAAGGGAAGAAGGAGAAGATAGGTATCCTAAAAGAAATGAGTTTCATAAAAGAGCTAGAAAAATGTCAGTGGCATTAGAGCAAATTCAGATAACTCAAAAATAACTCCTAGATTACAGGTTTTAGCTATGGGGGGGGATGACCATGATGCCTCTTGTGGATTCTTGTACTTGTGATGGAAGATAACTTTTATCATTTGTCTTCACAGCATCCTACTTTTTAAAAATATTCTTAAATCTTTTCATACTTTTGAAAGCGATTTTACCAGGTTAGTTCTATCCTTTGACAAGGGAAAGGGATAGAGATTTCATAACATTCTGTCAGTGTTAAACCAGCTGACAAAACTTTTTCCTAGAACTCACCAGCAAATGACTTGGGTTCACAAATGTCTCCATTGGAAATATAGAAAACATTAAGTGTTAAGATTATTAGAAATAGTCACTAATTCCTGCCTAAGGGCAACTTCTATAACATAATAACCATGACTGGCCACATCAGAGGAATGCTCTCTGACAGAATGATGTCCCTCATCTTGATGTAATGATCAGAAGAACACTGAACAGCAGTGTATTCTGAGAAATAGATTTTAGAAAATGATTCATTAACTAGCTAAAAAAAACGTTGTCTAAAAAGTAGATCTAAAATGAGTAAGATATATGCAGCTCTCCATGGTAGAGGCAGAACCAATGATAATAAAATTAAATGCACATTTAGGACTCTTGTGTTTTGAAAGCAATATATAAACTTTAATTACCATAATTAATTAATTAAATGAGGCACTTCAAATGCTGTGTGTGAGATAACTCCTGGTCTAATTCCGTGTACACATAATTGATGCATCTTCACAGCTGTACCAAATATAAACAACTTAACTTTTCAGTAGCTACAACAGAACATTACAAAGATAATTATTTCTGTGAACTGAGGTCAAAATTGTACTTTTTATGAGTCTTTGTTAAATTGCTTTCTAAGAGGACAGTATGTTGTTAATATGTCAAACATTTATATACTTATAGCCATTTTTACTGTTACCATCAGTATATGCTACTTTTTTTGCAACTTTAGACTCATAGATTCAGTAATATTAAATTATTCCAGCAAACATTTCCTTCTACCTCTCCCAAGACTAATAATTTGCCTAGAGTTAGCATTCGTATATTGAGATTAGAAGAGTGAGAAAAGGAGTGTTCAGTAGCTAGGCTAGGAGCTAGTGGTGCAATGGATAGCACATCTGACTACAGATCAGAAGATTGCAGGTTCAACTCCTGCCTGGTTTGTGTTAAATTTCATTCTTAGCTAAGAGCTATCTTGTAGGGCTTGAAAGACCAGAATTAAGTGCCTGCTCCCCCATGATTTTTCCTGCTGACTTTGGGGAAGTTCCCATCTCAAAAAGGGAGATAACTGTACTGCATGAGGTTTTGGGAGGATACGTGAAAGATAGTGAGGTACTGACATGGGGTGGTAATGGGAGTCATATGAGTACCTAAAATCAGTAGCTTAGTATAAAGGAAAGGAGATGGGGCTCTCACAAAAGGGGAAAAAGTGTTAATTTACAAACAAAAAACTGAAACAATTGGAACTTTTTTTTGTAAAGTCAGATGCATGAACTTCACCTGTATTAACCCCAACTTGACACTGACCTCCCTGGGATTTTGTGGATGGATAAATCTTTTGAATGTATTAAGCCAAAACTTTTACCACTCTGGAATTAGCCAAGACCTCACCCTCTCTTATGTGGGGCATAAATACATAAGCTTAGGTCTTTCTTCTGGAAATTACATGTGTTTTGTTTTTCACAAGTATGTAATACATAAGCAGATATTTTGCTCACTGCTAATGTCGTTCTAAAGGAATTCAGTGCTCCTTAAAGGATTTTTTTGGCTTACAATCAGATGGCCTTTTCATATAGTTATATATTTTAGTACCTAAGTTATCCTGGATGTAGGTAAGCTGTAGAAAGAGTGTTTTGTTTTGTAATTTTGTGAAATGCATGTAAATATAGTTAATCTTTCTAGAAATCTGAAACAGAAACAAGATTAATTCACTTGCTAGTGGATTAATCCGCTGACAATAAACCCTAAGGGAAGGTTGTTCCATACTATGCATTCTCAGGGCAGCAGTCTTAAATAAAACAGTGCGTACACAATTGTCATTCCAGATTGCAAACTGATATCGGTTCCACTGATGGACATTTGTTCACTAGTACAAACATCACACATCTGCTTGTTAATTATCTTATATAGTCTGAAAATTCTTCAACACTTTTGCACAAATAACAGCATACTAACATACTGTGACCACTGTGATGAAGTTGATTTATTAGTGAAGGTAGGGAAGGGAAATCTTGACTTGGGACACAAGGATAAATCTATACACATTTCACATCCAGTAAACTTCATGGGACTCAATACAATTAATCCTGAAGGAGGGTTTGAATTAACGCTCCTATAATCTGAAGATCTGGTTCTAGGTATTCCTAACCAGATCATAAAGAGAATGATCCCAGAAGATTCCTATCCAAACCAGTACAGAGACTCCTGCTGAGCTCAGTGATCTAATCTGCCTCCATCCCACTTTCTGCCCCTTTGGTTTGTCCATGCTTTGTAAAAGGAATTGCTTGTATAGTGTAGGGATGTGATAGGTTAGAAGTTTAAATGATAAGTATATTTATACTGGTAATATATTACCAGTTAATGTTTAGCACTGGGTTCAGTCTGGCGAAGAAGGGAAGGGCATGTTGGCTCAGGAATAGGAAGGCAGCAGGGCAAGCAGGAGGGAGAGAGGAGGGAAGAGCAAGGGGGGGGCGGGGAGGGGGGGGCTAGTACCCCTAGCCTATGAGGGTAAAGAGGAAAACAGTGGGCTGTCTAATAACTCATCAGTGAAGCAATTAGCTGCTCATTCACAGGTGCTCCTTCTCTCCCAGCACGCCAGCAGCTGCTGCAGGCTGGGAAAGCCCTCTGCCTGCTGCTGCCACCCTTGGTTTCATGTAGGCTGTGTTGTCTAGTGGGGCTTGCCACCATCTCCTCCCCCAGTGTCAGAGGACCTCAGCAGCAGTCTTGCCCGAAATGCTCTGTTATCAGTAAACAGTTTAACCAATGTAATTAGAGGAAGATAATTTTATAAACAGTATTTACGTCCTGAGTACAGTAGCTCATCTGTTATCACCTGAAAGAAGATCCAAAATGAAAGCATAAACACTTACCCAGGCTCTTGATGCCTGGGGTATGGTATGAGCAATTCAGCAGTCACTGTTAGAGACGCAATCAGATAGGAGGCTCCTACTGTAAAGGTGGGTGGGGGAGATGGGGGAATTCATTTTGGATTTGTAAATAACAACAGAAAAACTAAAAATGTTTAATGTTACAGCTCAAGCAAAGAAGATAGTGATTTTGGGCCCAGAAGTTATTGATATAATTCAGGGATCTTCTATCACCCTTCATGTACAGCTTCAGAATGAAGAAGGAGAGGTTTGTGAATGTACGAACATGTTTACAGATATTTTATGCCATACAAGTGTGTTTCACAATTAAAAGGAGATACTGAAAATAGCAGAATATGACATGGAATTAATTTTACCTTCACAGCGGGCTATACGAGACATTAAATGCTCAGTAGACTAATTCTACTGTGCATTAGTGCATCGCAGCAAAAACTGTGCCATTGTGCTAATGTACAGTAGAATTAGTCTTCTGCGCATTAGTATTACTTAAAAGGTGTGTGCCAGTGCTACTGCACAGTAGCGCCAGTTACTGCACATTTAGTACCTGTTATTACAGGTACTAAACTTAATGCACCATAACCACGGTGCATTAACGCACATGTAGACATGCCCACTGAATATAGTTTCATAGTTTCATAGTTTTAGGGTCGGAAGGGACCTAATAGATCTTCTAGCCCGACCCCCCGCCAGGGCGGGAGAACAACAAGTAATATAAATGTTACTGAAGATGTTTTATGGTACCCACAATTTCAAGAGATGTAGGGCTTCTGTTTTGTGTTAACTATCAGGCCCCACATGTCCAGGCAACTTTATGTTCTACGTGATAAAAATACAGTTAAAATACAACTTGCTAGTGAATCAGCAGGCAAATAATGAGTCTTTTCTTGCAAAGCTCTGAATACATTCTGAGAGGTGTTAAGGGTTCACATTTCCCACCTTTGCTGAGGGTCATGTAGGATCAGGTTCATGTAGAGAAAATGCCATGCTTGTCCTGCTTTCAGCAGTTTCCTTTTGTTTTGTAATTGACAGGACCAGCAGAGCAAGTTTCTGGTTTCTGGTTAGTACAAGTAATGCAAGAAAGGTAGCAACAAAAAAACAAATATCCTCTGTGTGTACATAACAGAGTAAACTGAGGGAACCTGCTTAATAATATTCGTCATTTTATATAGTAAAAAAGAATCGATAAAGCTTCTCTTGTGTTGAGGGCAGATTAAATTACTTACCATATTTTCTTGCTTACAGTATGCCCCCGAAAAAGATATAAACCTTGTTTTTAAAAGACAAAATAAAGAAAAATATATCTCTCCTTGAAAATACTGGTAAACAGCAGTAAGTAGAGCTCTTGTCTCAGCTGTAGAAGTGTTTTAGTTAGGTCATTGTCAAGAAAAATGAAAAGGAATAAATTCTGTACTATATTTATTCTTTAGATAGGCAGAAGATTTAATTTTCCAGTTCTGTCCATTTTACCCTTTACAAAAGCAATATATTTATTTAAATTCCATATTCAGAAAAGAAAAGCTTTGTCTACAGTTAAACTCATTTGATTTTTGTAACCTTCTGTTTAAAACCATTTGTGTAGAAGTCAAGGCTATGCACAGTACTTGAAGTTAAAATGAATGTACCTAGATAAGTATCTCATAAAGCGTTATAGCTTAGTTGTATCCTTTCAAAAATACAAGTTGAAGAGGATTACTTAAAATGTATCCTCTGGAAAGGTAAAAGTGTTCCTTTGTTCTTTTCTTCACAATTTGAGCAGAAAACATTCAAGGAAACAGAAATATTTTTCTCGGATTGCCTTTACTGAAAACAGTGATTACAAACCGTCTTTTCCATCCTCCTGAGAAGGCAAACTAGCTTTCAAGTTATGGTCCCCCAATTCTAAGTACAAAGTACAGTGTTAGGTCTGGTTTTTTTTAGAAGACACAGTGGAAGAAGGCACTTCACAAGTTTTACCTATGAAAGGGTTGAAAGCTTTGATTACCCGAGGCATCAGCAAAATTGTGCATGTTTGCTAACTTCCCTTTGACATTTTGCAAAAGATTTAGTATCTTCCAGGGTTCATCTGATTATTTCCTATCTAAATCCATTTTATTTTTATCCTATGGTATAATTGTTAGGGGTGTGCAAAAGCGGGCCCTATTTGATTCAGATTTGCCCCGAACTGGGGACAGTGATTTGATCCATTGATTTAGATCACTGTCCCTGATTTGATTCAGCCAAATCCAGACCTGAAGATTCGATGCTGATTCAGAGAATCAGCGATTCAGACACAGACACAGCTTTAAATGTTTTTTCTACGTACCTTGAGGTACCAGCGTGGCTCATGAACGCTGCGATGCTGGGGTGGACAGAGCATCCCACAGGACTGCAGGGGAGCCCCCCCATGTGCTCAGTGGCAAACTCGGAAGTGGACCAGAAGTACTTCCGGTCCACTTCTGGGAGCACACAGGGGGCTCCCCACAGCCATCCGGCTAGGCAACTGGTGTCTCCTGGGTCTGGGGGGGCACCCAGGGTCCCCCTGCAGCCAAATCTCTGCCAAATCAAATCAGGGGCCAAAGCTTCGCACAGCCCTAATAAATATATAACTATGCTACCCTACCCTTGGAAATATGAGTATAACTCAGCAGAGAATTTGGTCCTTAGGTTGTACTAAACTATATTTTTTTCTGTCAGAAGAAAATTTTATGAAAAACCATTAAACCCCCCCCCCCCCCCC